AGAGCATTTGAAAGGAAGTTTACGCCTTTTTCCTTCCCGATGTTTTTAAACTTGTCCAGAGGTGACGTTAAACCACGAATCTCTAGTTTCTTAGGCAAGCGCGCTAATCACTGCGCTACGGCTGTTCAAATTTTAAGTTCTGTGCCTAGGGTGTCTTATTCCCCCAAAATTTTGGAAATATCATGCCAACTATTAAATTGAGGTTTAGACTAAGAAAAAAAATAATATATACCAAGTATTTTTTGAAAAGTTAAAAACTTTAGGGTCCCCACCAGAAAAAGTTGACAATATCCTTTTTTTACCGACTTTTTTGAGTATTTTTACTAAAAATGTTAACAAATATATTTTGCAACAATTTTAACTTTTAAATTGATATTATTTATATTGTATAAAAAATTTGACTTAAAAAAGTGTCCCCCAAATTAAATAGTCACGTGGTTTTGTAATTTGGCAACTGTAAAGTAATTCGCGCCAGATTTCATTAGACACTATTACTAACTATTATTAACTGCAAATGCTTAAACTTGGAACAGTATAAAAATGTATTCATAAAAGATTTTACAAAAAAGAAACGTATTATAAAAACTTATTATTCTTAAACGATGATCGAATCTAAACAAACCCTTTAGTAAAAGTAAATTAGTATTTCTAATTAAAGAAAAAAATGGTCCAGTGGAAAAATTAACAAAGAAAACAATGAAATAAAGTGTTGACAAAATTTTTTTTTTTAAGATATCTTGATTAAATTACCAGAAACTTATAATAGACCTTATTTACCAGTTAAGCTATAGCTTATCAGGGTTGGGGTTAGGGTTAACAATAACCCTAATCCTAACAACACCTTTGGTATTTAACTTAAGAATTAGTCATAATCATCACTTCATAATGATCTAGTTGCCAGAACCATATAAAAATTGAAAGAGATAAAAAACCACAGAAAAATATAAATATACAACTAGTTTAAATCAAAATAGAAGTTAAAATAATGATTGGTTAAAAATTATATCTCAAAAATATTTTTATATGTTATCTAATAAAAAAATCTTAAACTTATTTTTTAAAACTGGGAAAGAGATTAACAAATCAAAATTGGCTGAACAACTTTCCAAAGATAAGGTACTTGATAAGTTATATAAAATTGATTAAATTTTGTTCGACAAAAGGATTCGTTAAAATAGCTATTTTTTTGTAAACAATATTTATTCTTTGGTTTAAGGGTTAAGTTATATTCAACATCTTTAAAAACATTTAATAATCGATTATCAATACAACAAAACATAAAACATAAGGTATTATAAATGTTAAGTTCATAAACGTTTAAAACATTCATATTTTTAAAGAAAGGTTTTGTATTTGAAAAACGATTTGAAAATATATATTAGGCGCATTGCATGTTTCTGATGCTGATAAAAACGTCGTAACTTACTTTTACCTGTAAATCCCCAGGCAATATTGACATAATTTTTATAGCTATGAATAAATTAGTAGTATAGTTACTTTATATTATTTTTATTTAAATAACTTTTACCCTTATATAAAATTCTAATATTTTTTGCAACTTTTGTTGATATATAATCAATATGAGTTTTTCATGACAGGTTTTCATCAATATAAATAGCAAGGAACTTAGAAATTAAACAAAAATTAGAGAGTAGAAATTAAACAAAAATCTTGTTTAATTTCTACTCTCGATAAAAAGTTTAGGTAAATCTTTTGTTTTTTTTTCGTTGAAAAATGGAAAAAATTTATTTTGTTTTGATAATATTTAAGAGTAATTTATTGCAATTGAACCAAGTAGAAAATGATAAAAATAAATCTGATAAAAATAATTTGGTATCGTCAATATTTTATCCAAAAATACTCGAAAGAGACCGAAAGAAAGAATTTTTTCAACTTTTTATTAAGTGGAAAGACCATAAGTTTTTATATTTTTAAAAACTATTTGGATTATATTATTTTTTCCTTAGTCTCAATCTCAATTAAAAAATTCTAAAATTTTGCGGCAATCGAACACACTTGTGTAACATATCAAAACTTGACAGAAAATATATTACCAAAGAAAATGTGATCGAAATTCCTCCAAAAAAAAAAAAAAAAAAGCTTCAAAGGAAGCTGTAAAAATTGCTAATATTCATGCAAAGCATAGACTCTTTATGCTAAGAACTTAAATAGTTGAGCAAAACACTGCTAAGTAACCACAGCAAAACAATAATGAAGAACAAGCACCGACAGCCAAACGATTAAAAAATAAAAATGTAAAAAGTACACAAAAAAAAAACAACTATTAAAAGCAAAATGTAAAAAGTACAAAAGTACGATTAAACACAGAAATGTTACAACGTGAGAATTCGATGTGTTGGGAATGGTTGAGCAAAGAAACATGTGAAGCAAAGAAATATTAAGTTAGAAAGTACTAAATTTTTGTTGTTGCAACAATTGTAAAAGTTTAATATAGTTTCTTTAATATAATATATTATTTAATACAATAAAATATTTTTTATTTCTTTTTCTTTTTGTTTTTTCAACATCTTTACTTCCAAAAATGTTGCAAGCAACAACAATTAGAGTTGGAAGTTACTGGATGAGAAAAGATAAAAGTTATAGTTTAGGATAACAATTAACAGACAATTTAAAAGATTGCAAATTATATGAATCAATTAAAAAAGATGAAGGAAGCGAATTCCAAAGGACTGATGTTCGAGGTAAAAAAATTAGACAAATAAGTATTTTTAGAGCATTTAATAACAGTCACAGTAAAAGAATGAGACTAGTTAAATGAAGAGTAATACGATAATGAATTATAGTAGACGGCACAAGAGACGCTAGGTCTTTAGAGCTGTGCCCATGATTTTATAGAAAAGAGAAAAAGAAGCAACATTACGACGATGTGATAATGGTTGTGCGTTGGCTGCATAATATACTATAATAAATTTTATATTACAATTTAATAAAAAAACTTGATTTTCTTTAATATAAGTTGTGTTAAAAATAATAAAAAAAGTTAAAACCTAAAAATTCAATAATTTTTTAAGTACGCAATTATTTGAGAAAGCCTCCTAAGACCGCACACACATATATTTTTTTATATTTAATATTTTCAATAAACTCATATAATCTTATGTAGTTTTTTATTCTCTATCTAACGATAAAAAAAAGATTAATTTAATTTTTATTGATTAGTGTGCGGTTTGACCCGGTTTTACTCTATTGTTTCAATTAAAATTTGATTTTTTAATGATAAGTTTTGGTAATAACGAATTATTATATTCTACATCTCAGTTTTAATTGTCAAGTTGGTGTTTTTTACTTAAATAATATTAATTTTTGAGCTAATTTAAAGTGCTCATATTATGAGCACTTTAATTTAGCTCAAAAATTACTTTTTTAAATCTCTGTTTTTTTTTTGTTTTTTGTTTTTTTTTAATTCTGGCTCATCAGAAGTGATCCCTGAAAATTGTTTATTCAGAAAAAATTCGGATCCAGCATAATTATTTTTGAAAATATTTCAATTTTTGCCTAAGATGCTTATAATACCTTACTCTACACTACATTAAAATTTAACGGGTTAACGGTTTTTCATAATTATAATTATTAAAGGTTTTTTGCATGTGGCGACCGTTTTTAGAAACCATTTACATATATAAAACTTATTTATTTTGAAAAGTGAAATGAATCCGGGGAAATAAACGAAATATGTATATCACATAAGTCGCTCTATAAAAGGGAATCAATTTCACTTTTGCCCATTTTACAAAATAATGTAAAATTATTTAGCGGCCGAAAATAAACAACATCTTTATTTTTTATTTAAATTTTATATAATATTAATTAGAAAAAGATTTTCTACAACACGATTGAAAAATATTAAAAAAAAGTTTCTTCAATAAATTATTAAAAACAAAAGATTTTTTTCTAATATACAGTACTAATATACAAGTAATAATATCTAATACAGGGCCGACGAAGCGGGTTCCGAAGTGAGGGAGGGAGGACACAATTGTCTATTCTTAAAAAAAGTCTTCTATATCTAGATTTTCTTAAAAAAAATAAAAAAAAAGATCCTTTAGAAAAAATTCGGGAGGGGGGTACGTACCCCCTGGCACCTCCGGTATCGTCGGCCCTGTAATATATACGAACAACAAAATAATATCTATTATATATATATATATATATATATATATATATATATATATATATATATATATATATATATATATATATATATATATATATATATATATATATATATATATATATATATATATATATATATATATATATATATATATATAAAAGAATTAAAAAACTATTTTTCTCTTCAATTTTAGTGGTTTTTTTAATCGTAGGAAGGAATAAAAAGTAAAAAAAAAAAATAATGACCATTATTTTTCCATTTCCACATTTAAAAATATACAATTTGTTTTTTATATATAGTTTTTTAACTTTTCCTTTTTAGAAACTATTTGACTTGAAAAGAAGTAAAAGTTTTCTAATAAAAATGATATTTAAAAAATTTTCTTTATAAAAATTAATTATTATTTTTTCTTATTTTTTATTTTGTTAATAATATTTATTAATGTTAAAAACTTATTTATCATTAATAGCATTAAAATAAAAATTAATAACTTTGTATTTTTAACAAAGTTAATGTTTTACTGATAAGTTTTCTGTTAAGGATACTTTGAAAATTTTCTGTTTTCTGTGTATTTTATTCATTACGGAATTGTATTAACAAAACAAACAAAACAAAGTTCTTCAAATAAATTTTTACGTTTTAATCATAGCGAATAACGCAAAATAACTTTTAACATTACATAAATACTGCAATGATCAGCTTCGTTTAAAAAATGTTTATTAATTTACTCGATGAATTTCAGTAAAACTCGGATAAATTACTTAGCTAAAATTCACCACCTAATTGTTCTGGCAATATTTGACATATGTCAGGTAAAAAAAATCAAAAAATCTTTATTTGTTTATTATTAACAATCGCAGTATCACAATTACCGTCTGCTTGCCCAGCGAAGTTCTTGCTTATATAGCGTTCAACATTATTAGATCTCAGCATGACCTCTGAGATAAGCGAGTTGTTAACGCCATTAATATACAGAAGATTAGCACACTAGAAGCTGAAAAATAAAATGTCGGCAATTTTTTGGAAATGATTTGCTTTCGAGATATTTAATATTTATTTAAGACTTAAATGCATTTGTAATCTTTAAAATGAATTGAGCAGCTGAACAATGGCTTACTTTATATTTATTTTTCTTCAAATGGTAATCATCATTGGTATTGAATGCACATTTTCTGGAAACTTAAATAGAAAATTGCAACCTTATGAAGGCAGTCGAACTGCAGAAAGTATTTATGCGTTTAGGAGAATCCCTCAAACTTATGCTTACAACAGTAGGGCCTATTTAGAGAGTCGTCCAAACCAACATATTGTTTATTTGAGAAGTAGCGCTCCTGTTTATAAGTCTGATGAACAAACAAAAAAAAAAGGGAAAAACATTTATCAAAAATCTGTTAGTAAAAGTAGAGAAAAAATAAAAAGCCACAAAAAAAAAGCCTCAAAAAGTAAGCGAAACCTCGTATCAAAACACAGTATAGAGTTTGTCAAAAACTCTACATTAGATAGTAATGCAAAGGATGACATTGCGACCGCCAAAAAAGATTATGTTAATATTAATGGAAAGTATTATTTACGGTCTGCAAATTCGGATTTTTTTCCATTTGATGGAAACAAACGAAATTATCTTAAAGTAAGCTAAGATTTAACTTTATTTTTGTTCTATTTTAGATTTTGTTTAACTTATATTTATTTTAATTTATTTACATTTTGATTTAAAACCCTAAAACTTCTTTAAAAGTCAATAATTCAACATTCTAGCTTTGATTAAAAATAAAACACTCAAATTTCACTATAGTATTATATCAGGATTTTAAATAAAAAAGTAATTTAACCTGTTCAACTTTAGAATAGAACAAGTTAAATTTTATAGTTTAATCTCTGTTATATTTAATCAAGCAGAAACTTTCCCAAATTTCTGTTTTTCTAAATATTAAGCTTTTGAAAACTTTTGCAGAACAGAATTTGTTAATCAGCTTTTTTCCAGGATAAAATTTGCTATTGCTTTATTTTACACTTCTAAAACATATGATACTAATAATAAAGTTTTCATTTTATTATTACTTTTGCTACTAACTTTAAAAAACTATTAAAACTTCAATATAGCCGTGTTACGTCAGTAATCATGGTACAGTGGATCGAAAGCTGATTTCGAAATCAACACTCGACCCACTGTTGTTTAAGAAATACTCAATCCACTGATATATAAGAAATAGACTTTTTATTCTAGTTTTTTTACAAGCAAAAAACACAAAGTTTTTGTTTTTGTTTTGGTGAACACTGTGTTCACAAAAGTACACAAAAATTAGTTTTCTGATTTATCCTTGGAATTATAACAAATTTTATATAATTTCCTAATTTTTCCTGATCATAAAGTTATTCAAAAATTAACAACAACATTTTGGTTGTACAAAAGTTTTACTTTCTTGTTATTCATAGATACGCGAAGACGATATCGGAGATGACAAGAAAACCGGCATTCGATTTATGAAAAACAAACGACCAACATTAGAAGGAGTTAGTGCAAAGGAAATAGTTTTTTCCTCTCAATCTTCAGACGAACACAAACCTATAGAGGTAGGTAACAATAAAATAAATCTTATTGTAGTAGAAAAACTGGTTTAATCAAGTTAAAGAAACTTTCAAAAGAAAACTATAACTTTTATTTGAAAACTTTTAAATACATATATCAAAAAAGAAAGTCATATTTTTACCTTACTAAAATAACCATTGTTGTTAATAAAATAAATTACGACGAAAGAAGAACAAGATTCTAACGTCGCGTTATGTCACAACTACAACTTACTATGCAAACATTTTATAGCGGATATTCAGTTGATTTATTTTGTCATTTTTAGCGTTTTATTTCAGTTTTAGTTTATCGGTTACTTTGTGCACCATTGCACGATAAGTGGTAATTTGATAACTAGTTAATATTGTGACCACAACTAATGTTGTGTGACCACAACTAATATAAGATTGCACGGTGTAATGATATAATATTTATGTGGTATCGGGTGTGATGATATCATTTCATATCATAAAGATTTAAAAAAATTTATGGTTTTATATTGTTTTTTTTCATTTGTAAATATTCTTGCATACTAGGGTTGTACCGGATTTAATTTTTCCAAATCCGGCCGGAGCCGGATTTGCCGGCATAGACTAAATAGTTGCAGCTATATTTATTGCCATTCTAATGATGATAATGTAAAAGAATTATCCAGCCGGGCTTGTTTTGCTGGATTTTCTTTAGTTTTGTCAATCTGCTGCTCAGCATGATCAGATTGACTTCAATCTTGCTATTTCACCTGTCAGTGTTGCCTGTAATGAGAAGAGTTTAGTTTGAAGTTATGGATCAACCAGTGTCACCACTATATAAAAAGGTTTCTCCTCAATGCCTTTAAAACGCTCATCCAATGACTTGATTAGGATTGACTTCATAGTCTTTACACCTGCATTTTAGCAGAATATCGTGTATCTTCCTTTCAGAACTTTTGTTGCGTTGTTGTTTGAAATTAGGCTTAGCTAATTAAATTGTAAAGAAATGTAAATACAGATACCAAAACAAACATGAAGTTTATAGACTATAAAATTACTGAAAAATTGATTTGTAAAAATAAAATATTAAGTATACATGTTATCACTGGCAAGAAAGATGTAATAAATATCTGCCCAAAATTCAGAAATCCGGCCAAAATTATGCCGGATTTACTAACATTTTGCCGGAGCCGGATTTGGTCCGGATTTGTAAAAATGGCCAGATTTTGGCCGGAGCAGGAGCCGGAGCTGAAATTCGGTATAACCCTATTGCATACCCTAAATTTTGATGTATATAAAACCCTTAAGGCTAAGTTATGACATGATTATATATATATTGGCTCAAACAAATTAATAAATTTTAAATAAAACTTCAAACTTTTAATGTTTTTGTACTTATTAACTATTAATGTTTGGCTAATAAGAAAATTAATGATAAAATGTGCGCCTCTTTGCTTATATGAAGATTAAATTTTAAGGTTTGATGCCAAAAAAAAAAAAATTATTCTTTAGTTTTAATTTTGAAATGAATTAACCCAAAAACTGAAAAAAAAACTGTTCATTTTTTATATTTACATTATTTTTTATATCATTAGATAAAAATTGATCGCCATTATTACATTGATCGCCATTACTACATTGATCGCCATTATTACATTGTAAATCAAACTAAGTACTCTCTAGATGAAGAAAGTAAATTATAATTAAATTAAATTATTTAACAATCTTTAAATATAATAATTATTTATTAATAATAGGCTGTATTCAATAGTAAGTTATAAACAAAATTTACAATATAACATTAATGAAGTCACGACAAATCTTTGCATAAACTAAAGTTTAAGTGCTTTAAAAATACTATTGGATATTTAGATATTTGTAACAGAAAATATTGTTCCATCTTACCATCCTGATATATCTTCATCTTCGGCAAAATCAACATTAAGTTCTGATATACCAGAAGCAGTGGCACGTTCTGAGGTGAGAGTTTTATTGACTTTTTTAAAATAGACAATATATGAAAACGTTTAAAAAACTTTAATTAATTTGTTATAAATAAGGAGTAAGTTGTATTAAAACAAATATTATCTATTCTGCTGAGCTTTTAATTACTCTAGTGGATATCAAAGATTATTTTTTTTGGAAATTTTTTTATGACCCAGTGAAATCAAATCCTCAATAATATAAAAAATTTTTTTTATTGTTATTCTCTTTTGAAATTGCGTTTCTAATGAATTTATGAAACGGTTTCATTAAACAGCTTGGAGGACGGTAGACGCATCCTATATCAATGTTTTTTTTTCTTTCACAAATTGTTTTTATTGTTAGAAATTCATAGTCATTAATTATAGTTATAATTCTAATTCTAAATACAAATTAAATTTAAGCGAAAACTCTGAATCGTACCAGTTTTTTGTAACAGATATCAAAAATATAACTTAGAATAGGTGAGAAATCTTTAAAGTTTTTCAAATATCGCTGCATACTTTGCATACTTTACATATTTGCCTGCATATTAGAAACTAAGGTGAGATCTTTTGTTGTTCTAGAATTATACGGACCAATATATATTTATATATCAATATTTTTAAAATATTTAGTTTTTTATCTAAAAATCTAAATATTATTAAAAGAAATCGTCAAATATATGCAAATTTTCCGGATTGGCGTCTAACTTTTATCTGTTTTTGTCGGTTTTTTCGAATTTGGTTTGTTTCATGAAAGAAATCTTCATTGATAAATATTTAATAATAAATATAAATAATATTTAAATATAAATATTTTTATATCCTTTTATATCTTTTTATATCTTTAAGATAAGCATACTTTTTATGATAATCGGTTTCATGTTATTTCTAAGTTCGATGCACTTTTCTTCGTTCGATCTTCTTATAACCTTTATACCTTTCAAACCTAGTTTTATTTTTAACTTTTATTTCGCTGTCATTCTAACTTTCATTTCCATCATTCCATCCACCTTTAGATTGTTGCACCTGGACCTATCTTCATTTTCTCTTGACTTTTTTTTCTTTTATTCTGAGAAAATTTCATTGAGCATTTTTTTAATTCCAAACATATTTCCATTGTAGATGCCATTTAATGTTTTTTGTATTTAAAAACATTTTTTTTGTTTATAAAAATAACTTATTCATAAATAACCAAGACACGAGTAATAAGTTCTTATTTAATCAATGGTCTACTAAACAAAATTTATTTTACTTTTCCTTACATATTAAACAAATTTAATTATAAAAAGGGCTTTTAAACTATTTTCAAATTATTTTAGCTTATTGATCAAGAAGTAAAAAAAAAAAGAAACCACGAGTATTTGGAAAAACCTCAAGATGGTATAGACAATCAAGAAGAATTAAAATACCAAGGTTTTCAAATATCTAAACATGATGAAAACTCAGCTTCATCTTTAGTTGATACATTGCAAAAAGATGATCAGCAAAAACATAATGGTTTTCAACAACCACAATACTTCCATTTGTCACAGGTCAGCGAGCCTAATAATATTCTTTTTGATCAAAAAGACCATGGAAGTAAAGAGTACAACAACTTTTTGCATGAACAAAACGACCACGCAGACAAAGAAAATGACAACTTTTTGCATGAACAGACAAATCAGGTGACAAAAGGACACAATAGCTTGGAATTAGAAAGTCTTTTGAATTACAAACATATGAACGACGGCAATCCGTCAACTGATCAACACATGAATGAGGGTGACCCTTTTATTGACCGACATTTAAATGACGAAAATAGAATGCACCTAGCGCCTGACAGAGGTTATTATAAACATAAAGAATTTCTGCCTGAAGAGAGAGATAACCATGACCCAGAAAAGCTAAATGAAAACAATCCGTCTAAAATGATGGACGAAAGAAGCAATTCAGTTGTTACGGACAATTCTTTGGTATTTTCTCCATCTGTAGATGATCACTTTAGTATGCGATCTCGCTTCAAAAGTGACGAAGATGACAGTAATTCTAACCAGGTATTTAGTAAACGATCAAATAAAATATATTTTTAAATTATGAAATCTATAATAGCTATTTTTGGTAATACGCAAAACATCCAAGCGGTACAATTTAGTTGACCATTTTTTATTATTGAGCCAACCAAGCACTAAAGTTGTCCAAACGTTGGCGCAATATTGAATGCAATATTGAAATATAATTAAATCTTAATTGGACCAGCGTTAGTATTGTGAATTGTTTGTTAGATTATACAATTATACAGTTCAATTGTTTGTTAGATTATTATTATGTTAAACCTTTTTTCGTATATAGTAATAGGCGTTACCTCTGTCTAACCTAGTAATATGGTTGGCCTCGCATTGGAATACAATTGAACTGTACAATTGACTGTTAAATTGATACTGCGCATTTATTTACTAAATTTTATAAGTTTGAAATTTGTACATTTTCATAAACCCATGTTAAGAACTTTGTTTATATTAAAAAAGTGTAAAGATTATTATACTAATATAATGCTCTGTAATGATCTGTTGTGATCTCTGTAATGATCTGCATAAGCATTTTATCAATACAATACAATCTTTACATTCTATACATTGCAATAACAGCTGTTATGTCATAAATGATACACTTTTTTTTTAAATTTATTTATTAAATGACTTTTTGTTTATTTCTTCTGGTATCAATTTGGTACCCCCTTTCCCTCCTAAAAAAAAATTTTTTTAAGGAGGTGAGGGTGCAAAATTTGACAAAAAACAAAACGATTTAAATAAAATAATGTCTATAATTCTTTGAACTTCTTTGAGTTAATTAATTAGTACCTTTCAGTCTGGATAATGTTTTTTTTCACCCCAATAGTTCCGAGAAAAATTGTATAAATTAACATCGCTATCCTAAACATGATACCAATTTTAAAAACCTATTCTTCCGATATATAATACATATTTCTATATAATATATGATAAACAATAATATAGTTTATATGCAAAAATATTATTTTATAAATCGAATTTTGTTTCACCTTGCAACGTAAGCGTGGTCGAGTGGATTCTGCTTCCGGCTAGTAAACTGAGTCTTTCAGATTCGCCTCTCGGTGAATCTGGAACACTCAATTTCATTTTTTTTTTTAGTTAGTGCACAAATATTGTTTTTTTATTACTGCACACTTTTGTGCACCTTGCACATGCCTTCATGTGCACAAGTTCTGCACTTGAACCATATAAGTTCAAAGCGCAGAATGTGCACTGCACATACAGCCGTAACAGTCCGTTAACAGGCTGTAACTACTTTATTAACGGAGTGTACTCATCAACTACGTAAGATTTAGGCGTAGCTGATTTTACAATCAACGTGTAGATACATCAACTGAGGGTGTTGAGTTGGTCAGATACTCTTTTATCTAAAAGAAAGTCTTCTCTTAAAAAAAAAAATGTTGCATCACAAAAACGAGACCCCCACCCCCTCGTAACAAATTGTCACAAAATCGCCTACCCCTCCCCTCCCTTAAGCGTGACGTAATTTATGGACAACCCCTTACTTGTTTTGTAGGTTTTATTAGAATTAGTTCATAGAATTAGTCACTCGTTTTATTACGAAACATTTATTAAAGATAATTTAAAATAAACTTTAAAAGAAAAGTGGCAATTTTGCAGAACTTTTATGTAATGATTTTTAAATCGTTATATACATTTTTAAATTCTAAACAAGTTGTACAAACCTTTAGCTTTTTATATATCAACAATTTATATGTTAAAATAAAAAAAAAATGAAGTCTTGAACTTAAAACTAATTTTAAAAAGGAAAAGTCAACTTGGACATTTCGCGTTTTTTTTAAAACTATTTTAGCAAGACAGCGGATTTTGAGGACAAAATATCAAAAAACACGTTCTGTTGATTGTCGAGTTTAATATTTCAGAAATCAAAAATATATGCATACATTACATGAGTATATTTTGATGAGAACGTGCGACATCAGGCTGAAGGAAAAGACACTCGTGTGTCCGATCATTCTTCTATATTGAGTTTCAATTTGTCAACACTATCTTTAAACGAGTTAACTGATTCAGTGCTTATGGCGTCTGTAGGTAGCGCATTCCATCCGTTGACGATACTGTCATGTTATTCAGTCGAAGTTGTTCGAAAACAAGTTAAAATAATAATTATTTATTAGTCTTGTTATTATCGTTCTTAGTATAATTAATATTATTACGGATTTTATGTTGTTATTTGTATATATATATATATATATATATATATATATATATATATATATGTATATATATATATATACATATATATATATATATATATATATATATATATATATATATATATATATATATATATATATATATATTACAAATATTTATAATTTAATTCAAAACAAACAAATAAATAAATTAGTAAAAATATTTATATATTCTAATGAAATCATTTATATTAAATTTTAGAACTTTGATTTTAATCATGGTGAAGATACAGCAGATCAGGAAAGAAAAAACGAAGAAGAAGTTAATCATCAATTTCCATCTGCTATAACTGTTACAAAAGCAATAATGCAAAGCGCAAAGATGATTGATCACCCTATATATAATGATAACCATTTAAATAGCCAAAATTTTATGCCAGATGTCTACGAGGCATTCAGTAGAACTAACAATGATCTGAAACAGCGCTACAAAGTGCTTCGGAAATGGGCAGCTCAAAAGATTGCACAACATAACAAAAACAGTATCAATGAAGAAGAACTTAAGGAAGAAGTAAAAAATCTTAATGATCTTTCATCTATGGTCAGACTTGTAAACAACTTAGAAAAAGATATGTTAAAAATTATATTAAAAAGAAAGCGGCGTTTGGGTGAGCGGATGGGGTACAAGCACGAAAACATTCCGGGATCAGAAAGTTCTAAAAAACGTTTTAACAGCCCATCTGATGTCCAAGAGTTACTGCAATATATATATGACACCTATATTGAAAATCGCACAGCCGATGAAATACCTGTTGTCCTTCAAGCATTTCAAAAATCGCTTGCTGATATCGTTTCTAAAAAGAATGTTTCAACAAAAGTTGCATTGCAAGACTACAGCCACAGCTCACCGTATTTATCAGACTCCATCAAAACAAAAACAAACTTTTCAAAGCAAAATCAAGAGCTATACGAAAAGTTTACTAAAGATGATGAAGATCAATCAGAAACAAATCAGAACACTTTACATCAGTTTAATAGCAAAACAAACTCATCGTCTCCTTTAGTTACAGTAAAGCTTCTTAAGGCTCTAGATTTATTTTTAGATAGTATCGAAATTGAGAGAAAAATTAAACATTTCCGCGCAATGGTTGAAGATTTAGCAAATGAAATAAATGGTTCTGTACTCCTAACTAGTGACATGAGAGTGTCATTAGGAAAAATTAACCAAGAAATCAACGAGACATTGATTCAATCAGAGTTTTTGAATAGAGACCAAAATGACACTATAATTGATAACCAAAACATGTCAGTTACAGGTGTTGGAAAATTCCTATTATCTGTTCCAAACCATAAAAATTTAAGTTTGACAAAAATAAAAATATTTGAGGAGATGAATGAAATAATGTTGCCTAAAGACTCGGCATCTATCCCGGAAAAAAAGAATAGTGTCAACAGCTTCATAAAAATTGACAGTAAAAAATCCGAAAATCAGGAAAACAACAAAAAAAATGATTTAACAAGAAGTGAAATGTATGATTTAGATAGCGAAATGAACATTGACGATGACTTGACATATGAAAAAAACTGGTACGGTAAAAATAAATTTACTAATTCCCAGCCTTCCAGTAATATAACGAACTTAAATTTAACTCACATATACGAGCCAGGAATGCTTGATGCTGGAAAAATAGTTTCATCAGAATTTGAGGCAGCTTTATATAACATGGCCGACACTAATATTTCTGCAATAAATAAAGAAGCCATGAAAGGGTTAACATACTATGCAACGCTTATTGAAAAGCTACATAACAAATCCATTTCTCCTTCCTTCAACTCTAATAAATTAAATAATAAACTTTATTCTATGGATAATATGACAAATTTAAACAAAGAAGCTATGAAAGGTCATGATTATTACGCTAAGCTTGCTGATAAATTACATAACGAAATTTACAACCAAACAAAAAACTTAACGCACGATCTTTTAGCTAAATTAGAGCATGCTAATATTAACATCAGCGGTCTTAATGCCGAAGCAATGAAAGCACACAGCTTTTATAGCAATATGTCTCACAACGATTCTAATTTAGACCAAATTTACAAATTATATTTAGAAGCGCAGACTATGAATCATCGTAATCAAGAAGCTGTTCAAAGTGAATGGTTGGAAATTTTAAACGCGCTTAATACTCCGACCATTACCCATACTGAGGCAGACAATTTTGATATGCAAGTTCAAAAAATTATTGACAAAGCTATTAGTGAAGCTAAAAATTTAACCGATGCTGAGCAAAATTATCATAAGATTCAGAACTTGAACATTTCGAAAAGTTTAGAGAAAACAAAAGATAATCTTAGAAACACATTAGAATCGCGTGGTGTTGACCAGGGTGCAATTAAAAACGTAGACTCCTATTTAGATGCAGAAAATAAGTACATAGGTCAGCTATTTTATGGAGAAGGTGAACGTTTTAATTCCGAGAACAACTTTACTTTTATATCTCGGGAAGGAAGTGATCAATATCAGTTTTTTAAGCAGCCAAATAAAACTCATCCTTCATTGGAACAACCAAATAAAAGTATTGTATCATTGGAAAAACCAAATAAAAGTACTACTTCATTGGAACAATCAAACACAAATATTCCGTTGTTAGATAAAAAGAACATTTTCCCTAACGCTAATAAAAAAGAAGACATAACTAACATTGTAGAAGGTCAGTGGGATAAAAGAAACATGGACTTTCACGGCGTAAAAGAGAATCATCCCGAAGACTTATTGCAAATAGCTCATCTCAAAAGTTTAGTTCAAAAACTACAAGAAGAAAGTTTAAAAGAAGAAGCCATTGACGATGCTAGGTTTGCAAAAGAACTCATACTTTCGAAGATCAGAAAGAAAAAGAAGAAAAATAACTATTTAACGCATCGAGTTATTATTCCAAAACATTACCAGAATATTGAAAACATTGAAAGCTCAAAAATTTCGTCTATTTTAGCTCATAAAATCAGCGAAATAAAACGTAATCGTAAATCTCCGTCTTTAGCAGCTACCTTTGGGGGTAGAGTAATACCTTTGCAAGTAACAGGTGCAAAGAGGAATATAGATCAATACAAAAGTTATTCGCAAGCACAAGCAGTGTTAAAGTATAATAAAAACACTTTTATAAATAAAAGAAACTCAATTAGAAATCAAAAACAAAAAAACGATAAAAATAACTTAAACAAAATAAAGAGATCACAAATACCACAAATACCATTAAAGCATCGACATCATCACAATAAAAAGTCTCAACTGAAATGGAGAAGGAAAAAACACAGACGCTCTAAAAAAAACGCACGCTTAAAGGTATCTCACAGAAATAAAAAAGATATAATTGTTCACAGCAAATTAAAAAAATTAAACCCTAAACAACAAGTTAACACTACTGACGAAGAAGAAACCCCCTCGTTGAAAGATGTCATTATAAAAGATTCTTTTTTTAGTAAACTCTCTGAAGAACAGCAACAGTTGGTCTGGGAAGCTGTTAAAAAAGATTGGAAACGACAACACAACCATGCTATTACCAAGGAAACAACTAATAAATTAAACAAATTAACATTACGAGAAGACATACTTCCAGGGTCTTTGGCAAGTATCAAAGAAAAAAATACATCTCATTTCTCTATAAGAAAAAAGCAGTTAAGCAGAAAGCATTCAAGTTTAAAAAAAGAAAATTTTTTAAAAAAGATAGAACTTTCTTCAGAAAATCTTTTTAACAAAAGTAATCTTACAGAATTAAATACTTTTAAAAAAACTGACAAACTGCTGTTATCTGACAAAGCGCACAACTTAACAAACATTTCTTTAAATGAAACAAACGAAATTATAGATACATTACCAGATAGCACTGACAATGCAACAAAACGATTGTGTCAACATTTTTTATATCCAAACGATGTTAATTTTATGAAGTATTTGTGTAACTCAATATCAAATAAGAGTGCTGATTTAAAGGCGAACGGTTCTTTCGGAGTTGAAGTAACACCCGAAAATGCTAGTCTACACTTTACCAACAATGTAGACTTAGATACAGAAAACTTTAACAACTCTGAAAATGTAGTCAACCAATTTAACCACACTGCAGATTTTGAGAACAAAACAACCAAAAACGTATTAGATTCTGTTGAAGACCGAAAGCAATCTAATGAAAATAGTAACTTTACATCAGATCTGGGCAAAAAAGAAACAAAAAAACCACCATCAGATGAACTTTTAAACTTAATACGAAATATTCAACGCATAAACGAAACAGTGTACAACGTTGATAATAAAAACAAATCTTCTTTACTGATTAAAGAAACAGAAGATGGTAAGTATACAGATCCTTTTGAAAATAACCTAAAATATTTGGATAGAGTTAACAACACTATTCAAAAGGCAGTACAAACTAAAAGTCAAGATTTTAACAATGGCAATTCTACAATTACTACTAATTTGTCTTTGTCTGAACAAATGCATTTAATTTCTTTGAATTCTCAAAAAAATATTACAGATAACACTTTTAAAATTTTCTCTTCGGATGTAAACGCAAACATTGGTTCTGAAAGTTCAAGTTCACCAGAAACTATATTGGATTTTTTTAACGCGACCGACAAAGTAAATGTGATACCTGATTTAGGTGACACAGCTTTAGTGCCTGAGAGTGATAAAAAATGCGAAGGGGACTACATTTTATTTCGAAAAGGAGATTTTGAGTATAAAATTCCCGCATTTAAGTGCAGTCGAAATAAATCTCAAAGTTTAGATGTTGCTTTTTGGAATAAAACAGAGAAAGTTATCAAAGAAATGAATGAAAAGAACAAATGCATGCCTGTTTATAAATCGTTTGTGTTTGGAAACTCCGACTATAAACTTCAAGTTGGATGCACAGAGAACCCATTTATTTCTGAAAAAAATAAGTATTCTAAGGGTAACCTAGATGCGTCTGAAACCAATATTAAAACAATGAGTAAAAATTCAAAGGTATTATATAGAGTTCAAGACTCAAAAAAACATGACAAGACACAACATACGAGTTCAGTTAATACAACACAACACGAGAACTCAGCGACGACGAATGAGAATGATCTCTTAAATGATGAAACCAATGATGAAATTTTAAAACAAGCCGGGCAATTATTTGAGTTAAAAAAAAAAAATTTTACAAGTCGACATTTTTCTAATAAAAGAGGTTCTGAAAACTTTTTAATTAAATCGGGCGTCCATCCAGACTATTTAAAAACATCTTTAAACAGCACAAGTACCTTTAAGTTTAAGGACACGTCTATCACAAAAAATATTTATGTAAACGGAGCAAAAGTAATAACGATGAAAAAGGAAAAAGATACCTTGTCAATTGTATATCCGCCTAAAAACGATACTAATAACAGCGGCTATATGGTCCTTAATGAAAATAACACAACATTTAAAATACCACTGTACGGAAACAAAGATGGTAGTTTCTCAAATAACTTTAATAAATCCAAAGTAAACTCTGAGCCCGACTTTCTGACAATTATTCAAAATAAAAATAAAGCAGAGCTTCAAAAATCTTCTTACAAAATGGAAGCACCAGACTCTAGAGGTTTAAAGTTGCACGAAATCCATTCAACACTTGATTCAACACTTGATTTACCTACAGATGAAGATAATTTTAAAGAAAGTTTTGCATCTTCAATGTTGCCAAAAGATCGCAATAACTATAGATATCATTTTAAAAACCACGATGGAAGAAGGTAACACTTTGTAAGTTTATTAAGTTTTCATTCAGAGGGAATGATTTTAAATAAATTTTTAAAATATATTACTGCGATGAATATTTTTTTCACTAGCATTATTTATTTGTTTATTCTTTGTTTAGATTTGAAAACGCCCATTTGAAACTGTATGATGAATCTGATGGAAAAAAACCATATTTTATAACAAAACCGATTCAAACTCCAGTCGTTGAACAATATGAAAATTTTCCTCATATTTATCATGAAGCAGTAAACCATCCAATGAAACTTGGTTTATCACCAAGTCCATATAAAATTCAACAATATATCTCTATTAAACCTAAGCCAATTTCAGATAATCATCTCCAGGATTCAGGTGATCATCTCCAGGATTCAAGTGATCATCTCCAGGATTCAGGTGATCATCTCCAGGATTCAGGTGATATCCGTTATTTAACTTTATTGCGTTATCATAAAAAGCTTCGTGAAATACAAAAACCTCAGGAAAGTTTATTTAACACAAATCCAACTCAACTAAATTATAACAAACCGAACTTACAAACTGAATACGCTGGTAAACAACCGACTCAAACGTTTTCAAATGATCCTTACATTCATGCTTTTAACCCGTTAAAAAATATGGTTCATCCGGCCTCTGAAATTATTAATAATGCAATACCTTATCAACAAGATGAAGAGCAAATAAATCAAGCCGACAATTTACCTGCTTCTTCTCATAACCTGGGTAATTATTTTGAAAAGCCAACTAGTTTGATTACCTATAACAACAATCAAAGAGTTGTTCCAAACCATGACGTTTTTTCAGGGAATTATATAAAAAATTCTTACTTAAACGAAGGGCATACACAGCCCACTAATTTGAATTTATATCATCAGCATCAAGAATTTGTAAACTTGAATTCTTTACAAAAAGATTTTTCTCCTGAATATTACGCAAAAGATGACGAAAATCAGATGAAAGTTATAAAAAGTTTGCAGCGAGCTGCAGATGAATCCATAAATCTAGCATATATGAATCTTCAAAAAAAATTAATTAATAAATACTCGAATGGATCAGATCGGCTTGATTCGTTTGATGAAAAACAACTTGAAACACTTGGGTATAATCCAAATGATCTGAGCGATATTAATAAGCAAGTCCTGGGTAAAAAAAGAATGATGGATAATCAAGCCCTTGCGACAAAAAGAATAATAATCAATCCTATTAAAACAAAATTACTTGAAACGCATTCGAAAAACAAACAAACTGAAAACAAGTTTAAAGTAAAATTAAATTGATAGTAGAACCTGATTACTAAGTTTTGTACTTGTTCGGTTAAAAATAAATAGTTTATTTTATGATAAAGTTTCTTTATTGGCATTTATGAGTGAAAAAAAAACTTTTTTTTATTCCTGCCTAATATAAAAAAGTCATTCTAAAACCATTCCGCATGATATTAACAGTTTATTTAACAGTTATATCGTATATAATTAATCGTATCTTTCATATTTACGATTTTATTCAATTGCATCGAATATTATGTAACTTAAAAAACTTTTAAAAATTTGTAATTTAAATAAAATTATTTCTATTAATTTTTTTGAATATACTATAGGAAGCACTTCTTAAAGATTACAGGATCTTATCATGAGGCTCTTTACAATGTATATCACGTTAAAAAACATTACAAATAATTATATATAATTATTTGTAATGTTTTTTAACGTGATATACGTTGTAAAGAGCCTCATGATAAGATCCTGTAATCTTTAAGAAGTGCTTCCTATAGTATATTCAAAAAAACCATGAATGTATACATTCATGATTTGCGTCATAACATTCTTCGTTATAAATATGAAGATAAATACAAAATAAAAGATAAATACAAAATATGAAGATAAATACAAAATAAAAGATAAATACAAAATATGAAGATAAATACAAAATAAAAGATAAATACAAAATAAAAGATAAATACTAAATATGAAGATAAATACAAAATAAAACTTGGTACAACTTAATATAACTTAATATAGTATTTTTATAAATATTAAATTATATAGTTTTTTAGATATATAGTTTTCTTAATATTAGATAAAACTATGATTAAAGATGTTGTAAAATACAAGATATAAATCGAAATATAAATCGAAACAACTAAAATGCTGCAAATAGATAAATGGGTTTACTGTTACCTTTTTTGTTCTTGTTCTTTTATTTGTTACCCTGCATATTTGTTCCATTGTTGCATACTTGTTTCAAGGTTTTTAGATATATGTTTTGTTAAGGTGCAGTTTTAAATGATATTTACAGCTCTAACTTTATTTTGTAAAATTATAAATCACATATACAAGGTTTGGTTACTGTATTCTAAATATTTTTTCATATTATCAGTTTACCGGTCATTTAGTTGAAGGAAAATCTACAAAGTGGAGTAATCATTCTGTAAATGAAGTGACCTTCAACTACACGTGATATAAGTATGCGAGTTATTGCCGTGCGGAATAGTTGAAACTTGGTGTGGCGTGATATTTCTGTTTTAGAAAGTGTTGTTGTTTAGTTAAACTAAAACGTGCTGTGTTGTAGATTGTTGTTGTATTTTTTTTTTGTTATACCTAAATAAAATGAGCTCATATAGAGGAAGTTGCGTAAATTACTCTAATATGTTTTGTTACTGATGTGGAGAACTTATGCTAAGTGTAAACATAAAAACAGTCAGTGATTTTGCAAATAAGGTTTATCTCGGATACTTTAGTGTTAGGCAAGGTGATCAAGAATTATTTTTTTTTTGTAAAACTTGTAAAGAACATTTACGACAGTTGACTACCAGTTAAAGAAAAGTATGAAATTCGGCGTGTCAATGGTTTGGAGAAAACCCTAAAACCATTTTAATGACTGTTAATTCTATTTAGTAAATATTATTGGAATCAATCAAAACAACCGTAGCAAGTGGACTTATTCTAATATATTCTGCAAGACGATTGGTTATTCACTCAAAGGAGGTGCTAATATCAAGGTAATATGAATATTGTCATTCTGATCACCCAATACTAATGAAGATTACAGTGATTATGAGGAGAATTTTATCAATTCCACAATGTTTCAATCAAATTCAATTGAATTACCAGAGATCTCAACATGTCAAAAGAAGCTTTGAGTTATTTGCTTCCAGATTTAAAAAAATAAATTTACTGGAATTAGGAACCACAATTGTTTTCTACCGTACAAGAGCTACCTTTCAAACGAATCTTCCCAAATATAAATCAAAATGATTGGTGTCTATTTATTGAAAGCTCAAAGAGAAGTAAGAAATGTGTTCTTCTGCATAATTGGGAAAAATTTGGTTCAATATCAATTGCTTACTCAACGAAAACGAAATAAAAAAATTTAACATCATTGCTTTGGTCTTGGAAAAGCTAAAATATCAGGAATATCAATGGGTGATTTGTTTGGACCTAAAAATGGTAAACGCTCTCCTTAGACAACAAGGTGGCTACACCAAATAACTTTGTTTTTTTTTGTGCCTCTGGGATAGCAAAGACAAAACACACCACTGGTTTATGAAAAAATGGTCCAAGAGAGAAAACATTTTCTTTTATCTTTGTATATAACAATTATATATATATGATATAGTGTAACATAGTATATAATTATATATATTTGTATAATATAACAATCGAAATTCTATGTTTAATTTCTTCATTTGATCCATGGATTTTACTGAAAATAGTGAAATGTATATTTCACTAAAATGTTATATCTTAAAAACTGGAGCATATAAGCTCAAATCTAACGGTATATTTGAATTCTAACGGTATATTTGAAATCTAATGGTATATTTGAAATTTAACGATTTATTTCGCATCAAAAACGGTGCAAATACTCCAGAAAATAGCTGAATAGAATAGTTTTAGCTGCAAATACTCCAGCACCAAAACAGCTGTTGAAAAGTGTAATTATTTATATTATTGCTCCTGTTTCAAATGCTGTTTCTATTCCAGTTATTCAATATACTAAAAGCAACCTAAATTGAAATCTTCTTTCATGTTTTTTCTATGTCTATCGATTATTTTTTATAATAAATTTTATTTCCTAGTTATATTATTCTAAATGCGAATTATTTAAAACATATGTTTATGCAGTTTAAAAGTATTTGGCATAAGATTTACTTGGATTTGTGAGCTTTTTTGGATAACTAAATCTTCCTATAAAATATTATTAACATCGGAAAAAATAAAATGACTTAAAATTTTAACTTAAAATTTTAAAAATTCGCTAAAAAACTTTAATTGCTCTGATTTTTAATTTTATTTTAAACAAATTTTCTTGATGGAAATTTTCAAAAATTTCTGATTGTTGTATAAGTTACAATAATATTAGATTTTGTGAAAGAATTTTTGTATAGTTTTTTGTACAACACTTTGTAGATAAGCTTTTTTGTACAACACTTTGTAGATAAGCTTTTTTGTACAACACTTTGTAGATAAGCTTTAGCAAGTTTGTAGTAGTAAATCTAACAAAGGTTTTTTAAATATGTTAAAACTAACATGAGCATAGGTTTTTTCGGAACATCATTAAATAAGTTATATACCATTCCAGCAAACGTTCTATAGTAGAATTTCAGTGAACCTATCTAGGAATTTTGAGTGGTCCACTGTAGTTTTTGTCAATGATTACTTAGTAGAACAATAGTGGCAGCCACCAAAAGTGGCTGGCCGATGAGTAGCCACTATATCACATGTTGGAAAGTTATCAATTAACTGCTTATAGCAGAAGCCACTAAATTCCAATAAACCGTTCAAAATGCCTCAATATGTCCACTGCAAATCCACTACAAAAATGTTGTCTGGTTAGTTTACAGGTGTATAGTAAAATAAGCTATAAATGAATCAGAAGCTTAAATGAATCAGATATTCAAATTTTAAAAGTTTTGTAAAAGTTAGTCCATCATACATATCATATCTGTCTTCTATGCCATCGATATATTAACAACATTTTAAAAAATGTGAAAAAGTTTTATTTTGCATTATTTAATTTTTTTTATCTTATTTTCAAATAGTTACTGGGCATATTATCTTAATCTATTTTAAAAGAAACATTTATATCTAAATAAATCAAAACCTTTATAAATAACGTTTTGATTTTTTTTTTATTCATCATCTTCGCTTCCAACAAGGCTGCAAGCAACCACTAATTAGTGTTGGAAGTTACTGGAAGAGAAAAGATTAAGATTGTAGAGCAAGATAACAATCGACAGACGACTTAAAAGATTGCAAATTATATGAATCAGGAAAGCAAGATGAAGGAAGCGAATTCCAAAGAACTGATGTGCAAGCGAAAAAACTAGACGAATAAGAGTTTTTAGAGCACTTAGGAACAGTAACAGAAAAAGGATGAGACTTTATTGAATGACGAGTAACATGAAATGAATTTTAGTAGATTTTAGTACACAAGAGACGCTATCTCTTTAGAGCAGTGCCCATTATAGTACTTGTGGAAAACAGAAAGAGAAGCAACATTACGACGATGTGACAAAGGTTGAAGGTTGGCTGCAAAAGCAGGTCCGACTATGTTTACAATGCGTTTTTGCACCTTGTCTAAAAGAGAAAGAGCATCATTAGAAGATCCGCCCCAGATATGGCAACAGTATTCCATACAAGGACGGATTTGAGATTTATAGAGATAGAGAATAGAATCCAGAGTTAGAAAGTGTCAAGCTCGATGATGCAACTGATGAAATTAGCAGAAGTAAGAATTAATCCTAGAAGATAAAAGGTAGATGACTCATCGAGTACATTACCGTTCATAAATATAGGAAGGTCTAAATTATTGCGATAAAGATTGGCTGAAAAAAGTGAGTTTTATCTGAATTAAAGTTCAACAGCCACTGTGAGCCCCATGCTGTAGCAGAAGTTTAGATTTGATTTGAACTTATTTAATTAGAATTATTTAGATTTGAACTCGGAAACCTTTGAAAGCCATGTTTAAAAAGCTTTTCCAAAGAAATGATTCGCGATTCTGAATGGATCAAGAATTTAGTTTTGAATGAGATTTTGGTACAAAAACTAAAAATCCTGAAGGATTTTTAAGGTTTATTTCTTTAAAATAAGTTTCAAAGATTTTGGTAGATTGTCCATATACACAAACTGTAAAACAAGCAAACGTTAACACGAACTATAAGATAGAAACATATATACATAAACTGTAAAACAAATGGATGTTAAGTTTGAAGATAATCCAGGCACCAAGTATAGGTAAAGGAGGTTCACAAGCAATAACTCAAATACAATTCTGAGAACATGCTTTTGTTTGCTTTAAAATTTTTTTAATACCGTTTAAAATGTACTTGCACATAATA